TATATATATATTCAATGAATAATATTCCAATATAAATATATTCTTGTAATTTTTAGAAGCAAGTATTCATACAATTATGTACTTGTTTATCTGTTATTCAGTTGATTCCCAATGTGCAAAAGATGGTGGAAATTGAGCAATTGTCTGCGCTCAGTTTTAATTCAGTAATTCCTCCGATAACCTGAAGGTTTCAGTGTTTATCAGCTTGCCATATTTGATTGATAGCTGGAAGAGTAAAGCTGCAGGCAGTTAAAAGTGCCACCAGAATGACTGCGGGGAGATACGGAAAGAATGAACCCTTTGTGGCATGCCGACTCTGTGTCCTTATGGATTTTTCTCAGGCAGACAGGAAAAGCAAAGCATTCCGAGGCCCCTGGACACACACACACACACTGACTTGAAAGATTCGAAAGTGTGTCACATCTGAATTCACTATACGTTTTTAGGAAAGTGACAGCACAGATTTGATATACTGTGTGCAAATTTTATTTTATTATCAGATCCTTGGATCCTCAGTGTGATTTCATTACACAGTTCGATAGTTGCATGGATTTGCATATAGCACGGGGGGCTGAAATGATTTGTTCAATACAGAAACAAGTACATTTGTATTGGAGGAAAACGTGACCCATCTTGACTCTATCATCCAGGAATGCGATTTGAGTCACATGTGAGCCGAACTGTTCCAAAACACCCTTTACATCCAGGTCTTGGCTGAGCCCCTATAGCGTACATGCTAAAGTTCAGCTTTTACTCACCACGTCAAACTGTTTTAGGACAGAAACTTTCAACTTTAATAGATTTAATAGACGTTAGATGGGTCAGAGAATGAGTGCAGTCTTACTAGTGCATCTCTAGAATGCAAGAGCCTCAAGAGCCTTCAAAATAGCGCGTTTTTTTTTAACTAATGAGTTTTTTTGTGTGTTTTGGACTTTATGCCACTTTCTTTTGCATTAGTGATTAGTAGAAAACAAGAGAATGTTGCAAACTGGATTTAAACTCATGGTGCCTGTATAAGCGCCATGGCTTATTGTTCAAGGCTCAAAATCCGGTTTTGTTGTGAGGTCAGTTGGATTATCTAGATTTTTTTATTTCCTTTTTCTTTTTTGTAAATTAATCTCATTTAAAGCACCAAAGTGTTGCATTTTTAATGCAGTGTGATAATCAGAGAATTATTATAGAAAGGTAACTTTCAAAAGTCCCTTTTAAAAATATGTTTTGCACATCCTCTATGTGTGTGTGTGTGTGTGTGTGCGTGTATATATATATATATATATATATATGT